TTGTTTCTTAATGAACCAATCAGGAATGAGCTTTTTGTGCATGTGATCTTTACATTAAGCATAATTCTTAAACAAAGGACAACATGTAAACAGAATACATGAGGATAATAGCGTGTGCAATAATTTGCCAAAAATTCTATACAACAAAATGTTTTAGATTACCGGTCTCTATTCTGCCTGCTTACATTACTATTAAGAATTTATAATAATACTAGTACTGTATTTTCTTTAATTTTATAGCAACTTCGAAATTGCAAAGGGAAAAATGATATATACACTGAGAAAGAATGTAAATGAATAAATAATATTACTGTACTTGTGTGTTGAATCATTTTCCTGTTAATTTGCTTTGAAATTCATTTTTCATTATGATTATAAGTTAATTATTCTCTTAATTTGAACCATGTCAATAATAGTTACATCTTTGCCAGCCAAAGTTGTATTTATTTATTCAGTCTTTATCACCACTATACTTTGGCATATTGTATTCACTGAGTGCCTTATCCTAGGGCAACTCTGATCTGGCGCATATTTGAAAGGTGTTTTTTTTAGTTAGCTGACCTGTCAGTAGGATGATGCATTGATTTACCATAGATTCATTTGTATGTCATAATTTGAAAAGCGTGTACACTAGCATTTTCAATAATTTGCCAAACAAATTATTTTACATTAAATCACAATCTACTTTTTTATCAAACAAAATCATTAAATGTGCTCAAAAAATCCCCAGTTCATCTATGTTTTAATTAGCGTTATTAATAATAAGCATAATTATTAAATTGATTTTTGTTCTTCAAGTAACCCCTTTCCACCAATCTATTTTTGATTCACGAAATTAACTCAAGTATTTGTGTGTTTTTTTACAGTCTGGGTAGCAACACAGTGAACAGTGTATATTATCAACAAAGAAGTACACAAAGAGAAGATACCATCCTTTTAAAATTTTCTTTTGTCATAATCATCACCACCAATATTCATTACTCAGCTCTTTACTCTGATATCCAAAAAAAAGCTGCAATACAATTGCTATAGACCGTACATTTTTTGCCGCCAGAAATTTTCACAATATCACGATCTAAGGGTTACTCACAATGATTAGATTTGAGGAAAGTCAAGGTGACTCAAAATTTCTCAATTTTTCCTAAATTGTGAAATTCTCGAAAATTTGTTGCGTGTGAAATTGAAATGGTTTACAATATTTACTTGTCTATAAAGGATGTCGTTGGCAATGTTTAGTTCTAGTCAGGCAATATATTGCTGTTTGGTGCTCCCACCTGTATTGTCTTATACATAGGAACTTTGAGGTATGGTTTTATCTGAAAAGAATATATATATATAGAGTCGACTTAGCCCTCAACCATCTTTCAAAATGTTAGACCAGCAGAATACAAGTTTTTTTTTGTATTTGTATATAAAGTGATTTTGCACTTGTAAGGGGGAGTCTGAAACTAATGTACATTTGTGCTTTTTTGTAAGTTTGATGATGACCTGCAATAGACATCATTTGTGTCGCCCTTTTGCTGTATTCTGGACATTTTTTAGTACAGTGCACGCAGACTTGTCATATTTAGAATCGTCTCTGTGTGTAGTTTGTTTGTAAAATATTTAGGACTGTGTAACGCCACGTCATAGTTGGTTTTTAAAGATGATTGTTGTCAATGTTTGAGGTTTTTGACCAGTTATTTGTGTGATGTAAGAAATCCTGGTAAGGATGAGTCATTTCCTGCTTGTCAATATTCATACAGAGCTCTTGGGTTTATCTTCTCTGCCTTTTCTTTTATCACATATAATTGGTTCTACCAATGAGCATGATGAGATTTATCCTAATTGAATTTGTAAATTTATACTCTGCCATGTTGGTGATGGTGGAATAAAAACTGATTTATCAGAATCACAGACAAAAACAGAAATGTACATTCTATCAATGTCTGATGCCTCTAGAGGGCGCTGTTATTAGTCATGGTAAAGAAAACTAAATTACCACACACAAATATCTGGTCAAGACCTGTCTGCACTTTCAAATCGCATTGTACTTATGTTATTATTGTTATTACTTAAATTAATCCAGCATGCCAACTTTACAAAATTGTGCCCCAGTTTTGTCTCGTCTTTTGTCTCAATGAATTTATTATTTATTATTGTCATTAATATTTCTGCTGTGAGGAATAATTTTTGTGTCAGTTTTTGGTGGATAATTGTTGGAGAAGATAAAAATAGTAATTAACAAATTGTTTAAATATATATATATGAATGTATTATTTAAATACAAAAGATGCCAAGGTGTCCGCGCAGTGTATATGCATTACATAGTGTAGACTGATTTTATTAGTGTACTTGAAGAGTCTCTGCAGTGCATTGATGATGCGATTTATTTATCCGCTGAGGTGTTTGTGTGTTTATCACAGTAAATAGTGTGGCCATTATGACTAGATTCATTTCGGAGGAGTCATTTACATAAACTTGATTAATCTCCGTATGGTTATTAGGTTAACTGGTAAAATTGCTCTAAAAATGTATTTAGGTTACAATTAGGAGTTGTATTGTTGGAAAAATTTTGTTTTAAACCTTTGACCTTTTAAGTAATATATGTACCGATACTGTAATAAATGCAAAACCTATGGTATTTGGAGGAAACCTGCCTTTCCAATAACTGAATATGACAAAACAATTTGATGGCTTTACTTGTGAGAGATTTCAGTATCTTAGGATGTCATCAAGTCATCAAAGTGCACACGAAATTTTCTGTTTGCCATTTGGAAATGGACTATTTTACAAAATCAACATTTGATGTGAAACAGTTTCCTAAATAGCCATTAGATCCCTTGCTTTTATGAAATTTGTAGGCAGACAACTCATGTTAACTCTGTGTCAAAACGAACATCAGATACTTCCTACGCCAGTTGTGTTTAGCATGCTCTCAAAGTAAAATTGGAACAGCATTGCATAACTGGATTTATTTTAGTAACAACAATAAATAACTTGTCGGTAAATAGCGTAATATATCAGGTTTTGACCAGAGTAGCTTGCACACACAGTAACCATCAGATTTGATTTTTGACCAAGTTAAGGATAAAGTTTTACCGACAGTACAACTTAAGGGGTAGGACTCGGGCCACAAAATCTAGAAAAAACTTCAATTTGTATTATGTCAAAATAACATCAAAATGCTCGTTATCAAACTTTCACAGTTTATTAAAAACAAGAAATTACTTTTGCTGAAAATCTACCTAAATGAAACATACAAGGGACTGGAAAATAGTATCCATGCAGAATATTTAAACATTAGACAAAAAAAACGATGTGTCAGTTATAAAAGCAATCTGACTTTCATGTGTTGTTTAGATGGGAGGAGAGACGAGCTTTTGTGATTGTACACGTTCCTTAATGCGTCGCATAGTGTTCAAAATACCTTTTCTGTTTATATTCACTCAATGTGGGATGATTGTGTGCTTTTAACACATCGACGGCCTTGATGTAGCAAGGTTTTAACACGCATGACCCCCCATTTGGGTTTGCTACATGATACATTTCAGCATCTCAAACCTGCTGTTTTCTGTCTCCCAGTATACTACTCTGTAAAAGTCTGTAATAATGGTCAGATTGTCTGTCTTTCCAGCAACTTGTTCATTTTGCAGTGCAGTCTCTTTACTTTCATTAACACAGACTATTTATTCCAATATATAGTAAAACTGAAAGATCCGTCTACCGCATCGTCAATGCACTGTACTAAGACCAAACCTAGTTAGCTAGTTACATTGTACAGGAAAGCTACAGCTTAGCCAGTAGTTTGCAGTGTCATGTAATTTACATTCCATTTTTGCAATTTTGTGCAGTTTTAATTAGTTAAAGGGAAAGTCATCTTCATCTGATACTTGCCATTGTGAACTGTTTTCATGTTCCCATGCAAAGACTCAACACAATGTATAGGTCTCTGTTTTAATCATCCCAAAAATGGTTAAAATTCAAGAGAAAACAAATAATTAAATACGAGTGAAGTGATATGAAGCAGAGACTTGTACTTATTTAAATGGTTGCTGCTTTCAAATCTTCCATTGCTCATCTCTGTCTATTTTGCCTTATCTTCTGAATATCTTTTTTTATGCAGTATTCAATTCGCTATACACCACTCCACGAACTCCCTGATGAAATGCTAATAAAATACCCATTCAGCTTTATGCAAATAACGTGCGTATATTATGGGATAAAATATTCTATGTTCATTAGCCAGTTTAAAAGCTGTGCACAAGGAATTCCTGTAATCAGAGATTGTTTCAGACCTGTGGTCAATAG